ATAATAATAACAAATAATAATAATAATAATAATACTAATAATAATAATATAATAATATAATAATAATAATTATAATAACAATAATAATAATTATAATAACAATAATAATAATAATAATAATAATAAATATTGTATTTGCAAAGCATTAACACATAAAATTTATATAATAATGCAATGTTTAAACTTAATGATATTATATTTCTAATATTATTATAGAAAAATGTATATAAACTTTTGTATGTACTAATAAAATAATATAATATAGATAAAATAACATAATATATACAATAACAAATTTTTAGATTGTTTTTAAATGAATGTTTTATATTTTCACTATATTTTACAATGAATCAATATCTTTGAACAGTGTTATTAAAAATATAGCCAGACAAATGGTTTTACAGTTTTCAATTTTTTTTAAATTTTTTAATTTGCATACTAGAAATTTATTGAATTTATTGAATCATTAAATTTATAGAATTAATTATTTTTAAAATTGTATTATATAAAAAATTAATTGAACATTTTATACTTTATATTTTGTTTAATAAAAAAATACAGATCATTTAATTATTTTAATTTATCTCATTATATTGTTCATATGTAATTAGAAACAATATATAATAAATAAATATTGAAAATTGCATGAAAAATGTTAGTTACAATTATAATAGAGTCATACGATGATTGTGTTTTTAAAAAGCTTATTATAATTACGTTATAAGGGAAAAGTTAGTGCAGTGGAACACGACACGATATGATACGATGTACAGAGTACTAATATTGTACATGTTATGCGCTGTCGCAGTCGGAATAAGCCGAGTAAAACCGAAAGAGAAAGAAAAGAAGTATGAGCATTACTATATCGTGTACGATAGTACCCAATTAGTACTAAGTACGAATTGAATAATTGTTCGAAACATTTAAAAAAATATATTTCTAACATAAATATTATATAAATATCTATCATAAATATGTATAATTAAGAAATAAATAAAAAAAAGAAAAAAGAAAACAAAAAAGATAGTTTATTTGAGATTATACGAATCATACATAACGAATTCACGGCTACGAGTCATTCATCTAGTCTAGTTTCCGAATCGATTTCTACGTTTAATACGTTCGTGTCGTTAACAATCTTCAACTGTCGAATTATGGGCTCAGTCGTTTTAAAATCTCTTTCAGTTCTTCTTGGGATATTCTTCGTTTTCGTTGGTACTATGAAATTGACTTCTCATATTAGTAAGGATCTGCACAAGGATTTGGTGAGCGTTTGCTCTATAATTATGTAACATAATTTATCCTTTTAATTTTACAATTTATATTCAATTGAAATTTTTATTTTCATCTAATATAAATTTTTATTTTGTTTTTAAATTATTTTTCTTTGCTATATTTATCTTCAGTAATCATAAAACATTTTTATTTTTATCTTTTTCTCTGTAATATGCATTAGCTTGTATGTAATACACATCATCTATTAACTATTATGACATTACGTTATTATGACGATCTGTCAATTTTAATAATCGATCTTTTTGGTTTCCTTAACCATATTTGTTCATTATTTTTTTGTAGAAACGATGATTTTTTCAATAAAAAGTATTTCATTTTGTCTTTAAACATCCAAAAAAATTGTTTTTGTTTTTACAATCTTTGTTTACCAAATAAAAAAAATATATGTCGATATGTGTTTGTATGCATAATTTTTTTTATAATTATAAATATCTTATTTTTTTTTTATATTGTTATCTTGAAAATAATTTTAAAAAATTTTAAAAATATATAATAAAAATTATAAAAAAAAATTAAAAACCTAAAAACTTAAATAAAAAGAATAAAAAGAAAAAATAACAATTTATATATATTATCTATATTTTTAAATACAGTATTTGAATAAATAAATATAAATAAATAAAATTTATAGTAATTTTTAAGATTGAAAAATAAAATTTTAGATTTTATTAAAACAATCAAATTATTATTATTAATTTTTGTTTGCTCGAGATTTTTCTAAAAATAAGGTTTTTACTTAAAACCTTATAAAAACCTTATTATAAAAAAGAGATAAATTGATTTTATGATTCAAATTTTTTTTAAATTTATAAAAAGTTTAATTTTTTCATTTTGATAGATCTCGTCAGAAGATTATTTTCGGTTCTTGCTGTTACTTAATGTTTAAAGTTATAGTAAACTATCAACTAACTAATTGGTGAAGCGCCAAAAATATTGCAAGTGCCAACTTATAATGTTTATCAAATTGAAATTGTCACAATATAAATATCTTATATATATATGTTTATCTCTCCGCCTCTCTTCATATTTCATCAAATGTTTATTAGCGAATTATATTATTATATTTCCAGAGGAAAGAATATGTGAAATATGCAAAGGTATTTCCACTATCTGGTACACTGGATTTTAAAGTACCAAGTAAATGGTATAGAAGAGTTGTTGGATCATTGGAAATTATTTGCGGACTCGCAATGGCCATAGTTCCAAGCCGTAAGAAAGTTTTTCGTTAAGTTAGAATAAATTTTTTTTTAAAAACATTATTATATTACATTATATTATTTTTTCTAGATAAAATAAAAAATGCATCAAATACAGTATTATTATTATTAATGTTAATGGCTGTATATTCACATTATATGGTAAATGATAAGTTTGAAAGGATTGCACCAGCATTGGTAAGATTAAATTAAAATTTGTAAAGAGAATATATATTAAACAAAAAAAATTTCTTTAAATAGATTTACTTCTTTTTAGGTGTTTTTTTTTATGCTAACAGGCCGATTAGTAATAGATTGGCAACTTAGACGAGAAGATACACAACTAGTAACAGCTAATGGTGTAGATGATAAAACTAAGAAACAAGATTGAATTTGGAATTCTTATACATATTCATGAGACTAAAACCTTCATTTGATTATCATATTAATTATCACCTGCAATGTATCATGTAGGTAATAGTTTGTTAAAGGAATTCTTATTATGCACAACAAATAAGTTATTCATTTGATTTTTGATTCCTTATTTATGATAATCATGTAAAATATGATCTTTTAAATTTATTTGTTAATTTTATTCAGGATTTATATTAAATTGCTCTTTCAACAATAGTATTTAAATTTAAATCTAAAGGAAATAGAAATCTTGAAAATTTCAAAAAATATAAATATTTATTATTATTACAATATAATTTAATCAATGAAACAAAGTATTAGCTCAAACACAAGGTATTAACTGCCATTTGAATTAATGTGTTCTTCTTGATATCATATTGAGATTAAATGTTTTTATGTGTAAACATTGCATTATAGCGCACACGCGTGCTTTCTTCATATTTATATTTTTACTTATTTAATTATTTTTTTATTTTTAAAGAAGAAAACACGCGTCTTTAAAATTCGAATGAAAATGTACAAATTTAAAATTCGTACAAATACATAAATATATTATTATAGTTGAAATGAAAATTATAAAGAAGACTAGTTTGTTTTTAGTTTAAAGTTCAAAACATTTTATTAATATAATGGAATATATTATAATGAACTAATTAACGAGATTCTAGAATCTCGTTTGTTATAGCATATTTTGAACTATAAATACATATTTATTTTAAACTATATTCCAAAGTTACTATTCAATATAATGATTTAAATAAAAAAAGTTTAATACAAAATAAATACAAGATAAAAAACATAAGTACAAATATAAATATAAATTGTATTTTCCTATGTTCATTATAGCATATTCCACTGTGTTATAGGAGAAAAAACGTTATTATTGTAAAATGTTAATTAATTGTACATTTATTTTTCAAATGTTAAATTTATAATCAATGGAATAAATTAAATAATATATCTATAAAATAAAGCAAAAATAAAAATAGCGAAAAAATAAGTGTAAAGTTAACATATATAATGATATATTTGTTGTAAAATATTAAAGTATCAACTACATAAGAAAACATTTTAAAAACCATTTAATAATTGCGCGCGCACGTGCATACAAAACTAAGCTTACACGTTCAAATAGAAAAAGAAAAATTAATTATAATTTTTTTTGAAATTTATATTTTTAACTATTTTTTTTATTTGAAAACAGAACCAAAATTATTAATTAACTTATTTAAAATTCATTAATACATGACATATTATTTATTTTGCACTATTAAAATTTTTGATATATATTTGTGAACTTTCACATTAATCATTATAATAATAAGTTTAAATATTAACGCCAATTTTATATACCTATAAATTAAATATATATTTCAAAAATACCTTTAATTCAGCATAACTGTAATAATGTAAACAGTTAAAATAAATAATTTATCATTTTTATCATTTTTACTTCAGTATTAATTAAATCATATTATTTATATTCACAAGCAATAAAAATTAATTAATTGTTATTATTAAGTGAAATAACATATTTTCAATCTTAATTTTGATTATGTGAGTTCTTGACCAGTAGTTAAAAGATGTAAAGCTTTTCGAAGATTTAACACAGCTGTAGGCACATCATCATAATTTAAAGCACTTCCAGACCATTTAATAAATTTTTGTGCCTTGTTTATTTGTTCCACTGATAATTCGATTCCACCTATGATGTATGTATAATTAATGCAAACAAATAATAATATATATATTTGAATTATTTTTTTCCAATATACCTTCTGTTTTTGTAACTATATTACAATCTTTATTTTCAGAAGACCATTCTTCTATATTTTCTTCACTATTCTTATTATATATTCTATCAGATGGATTAGTATTACCAATAACAATTAAATCTTCTGTATTTAAAGTATCTTCTTCTTTTGTTTCTGTTGCAGAATCTATTTTAAGCAAATTTAAATAGAATAAAATTTTGTTCTTATAATATATAAAAGATAATTATAATTTTTATTATCATATAACAATAAACACAATATTTTTAAAATTATTAAAGATAGAAAAAATAATAGATAATGAAATTATTGTACAAAAAATAATATTAAACAATTAATATCATTACTTAATATATTAATCATATTATTATAACATTTTTAAAATAATCAAAGAATTGATTTATGTAAGAAAAATTAAATGATTCTACTTAAAAAAAAAATTTTTTTTAAACTTTTAATTAATTTCAAATTTAAAAAGTTATAATTTTTAAATTTATTAAATATAAGAATACATAAAAATGAAAAAATAAAAAATATTTTTTTTATTTCTAATAATTTTTTTTATATTCTTGATCATTGTGAAACAGATAAAATATTTATTTTAAAATTAACTTACAAATATCAATTTAAAATTTTTATGTATAAATAGTTTAAAGAAATATTTATTATTATATAAGTATACTTATATATTATATAAGTATTATTATATTATATAAATTATTATGTAAGTTTAAAAGAAATATTTTAAATTATAAAATATTATAGAATTAATTTAGTAAAAATGAAAATAATATCATATTTGTTTCTTTTACATATTCAGAAAAATATCATTGAACCTAATAACATTTTACTAATTAAAGATAATTAAAAATAAACATTTGTCTAATTTATTATGAATTCACATACTTATTATAAAAACAAAGTTGATTCATTTATTAATATTTAAAAACCTTAACAATAAAATTCAAATTACTTTATAAAACAATCTTTATAATAGAATATTTAAAATAGAAACACAAAACAAAA